GAATATCTATCCACCTCAAATACTTCTCTGTATATCTAGAAAACCTAACTATAAGTTTTGACTATAATTATAGGACTATCTATAATTTGTACTTAATTATACATTACATTTTTAAAATGAGCTGTACAAACACATAAAAAGAGAAATATACATATCACAAAATTGACCTTAAATTTGTATCAATAAATGAAAATCCATACCAATGCAAAATATTCATTTCTATATCCTATTCCCCTTTTTTCCTTTAAAAAGAGATTGACTGTGATCATTAACCATTTATACCCAACCCATTTAAATGAAAACAAACATTTATACACAATATTGGGAAATATGGGCATCGTTTTCTCCAAACTGCTTTCTGCTGGTTGTGTATGCTGTACATACCATGGGGATCCTAAGAAGACACAGAAATCCTAGCTGTAGTGGTCTGCAAGGCTGCCTTGTCCCAGCTGTTTTGAATGTTGGATCACCTGGGACACTGCTTCAGGGGGTCTTGCTTCATCAAACCATATTAGTCTGGAAGGAATCCACAGCTTTTCATTTTCTGTGGAAACATAAATAAAATCTCTTTTACAAAGTAACATATCCTTATACTTAAATTTCGAAGCCAAGGCATTTTTAAAATATATAAAAAATTGGATCAATCCAGTAGCATTTCTTTCAACAGTTGTTGCTATTTCCTCAGCAGTCAAACAATTCAAAGACAACACAATAGCATACAGTATCCAGACTCTGTGCATTTTCCATGTTTACATGACCTTTTTATTACTTTATTTTATTTTAATTTTTTTTTTCTTTTTTGAGACAGGGTTTCTCTGTGTAACTTTGGCTGCCCTTTAACTCACTCTGTACACAGAGATCTGCTTGCCTCTGCCTCCCAAGTGCTGGGATTAAAGGCCCGTGACACCTCCCTCACTCAGTACTTCCTTCCCTTCCCTTCCCTTCCCTTCCTTCCTTCCCTTCCTTCCTTCCTTCCTTTCTTCCTTCCTTCCTTCCTTCCTTCTTTCCTTCCTTCCTTCCTTCCTTCTTTCCTTCCTTTCTTCCTTTCTCTCTCTCTTTCTTTCTAAACCACTTTATCTTGTTTCTTTTGCTCTCCCAATCATATGTATATTTTTAAACACACTGTAAAAACCTTTTAGGTTTTAATTCATCTGAATCTGTCTTTAATTTTTTTCTAAACAGCATTGCTAAAATTAAAGCGGCGGCTGTTTTGGCCACTAAATTTCCAATATGGCAGGGGCACATTTACTGCCAGCACTGAGAGGTGTGCTTACTGCCTTGTTCTATGCTGTCATCAAGCAGCATGCTGCCAGCTTGGAGATGTGGTCACTGCTACTGCCAGCAGCTCATACACACCATTGAATTGTTTTTTGCTTTTGCCAAGTTAGGAAACCTCTCTTTAAGGAGCTGCGCAAGTCTCTGCTTGTCTGTAGCAAAACAGAGCCCACCCGAGAAAAATGCTGCTACCAAGAAGCCTTGCTTGTCTTTGTTCTTTTGTTTCTAAAATCCCTTTAAAAACTTTTGTCAAGTTTTAAGTGGAAGTTCTTAGTACCTACATTGCAGGCGACATTTTGTTATGAGCACTTTCCCACCAGTCTGGTCCCAGTGCCAAATCAGTCCCAAAATAACACACAAAGACTCTATTAATTATAAAGATGTTGGCCAATGGCTAGAGCTTCTTATTGACTAGCTCTGTCTTAATTATTAACTCATTTCTATCAATGTAAGTGTTTCCACGAGGTCTTGGCTTACTGGGAATGCCGCACTTGCATTTGCCTGCTTATGTCTCTGTAGAGAAGAGCGAGTAGGCAGTTGTGCCTTTTAAATTGATTTGACCAGACTTTAAATTGTTCAGCCGATGTTTTGTTCCTTTTTCTTTTCAAAATACTTTTGCTGTCGCTTACACTGGGTGAGAGACAAACCATGTTCAAGGATTGGGGAAAGAGGCCCAGAGATAACAAGTGTTTGCCCCTAAGGATTGTTGGGAAGGAAATAAGCCAGTGCATGTGATGAGGGTCACCGCTAAGGGATAATGTGAGACAAAGAACATGGGAGGTGGTATCAGAGGAACTTACTGGCTTCATTTTTTCTTTGCCTTAACATTAGGAGGTATCTTGTAAGTTTGTTGAATAGGATAACATGTAGTTCCAGTAATGAACCCCTTGTGTGTGTTGTGTGTGTGTGTGTGTGCGTGTGAGAGAGAGAGAGAGAGAGAGAGAGAGAGAGAGAGAGAGAGAGAGAGAGAGAGAGAGAGAGAGAGAGAGAGTGAGAGACCGGTATTTTAGGATGCCAGCTTCATTAGCTGGAGTCAGGGAGGAAACAACTACAAGGGCAAAGATGGTTAGTCTTTTTCCTAGTTGGACTAGGACCAGGCCTCCTTATGCCCTATGCTTATTAGGCGATTGAAAGTGTTGCTACAGGGATGTCACTAGGGAATGACACTGTAGTGTTGATAATCTTTTTTCCCCTAAGTATATTTTCTGATCAAATTTGTAGCATATTCTGGGGTAGGAATTGTTTGCAATCATTTTAGCAATTGAGCCCAACTTTGGGTGATCTGTAGCCAGTCTTCTTTATTTTGTTCTGTGTTCTTTCATAAGCTTAGAGCAAATGGGATTTTCAGTTATCTTATAAATTTCCTTTAGGGGCTTATCCACCCCCTGTTGTTTTTTGTTTTGTTTTATCAAAAAGCTCTGAGATTTATTTTGAAACTGATATTTGAAGCACATGAATTAGTGAAACTCTTTTTTTAGGTCTTATTTCTTAGTACAGTCTGGAAGGAATTAAGTACATTTGTATATTGCTACAAGTACTTTATAAAATTTAAATAGAAAATTTGTTTAACTTTTGGTTTTACCCAGGTCTTGATTCAATTTTTCAACTTTTTCTCTCTCTCCTTTTTTTCTTTCTTCCTTTACTTTCTCTTAAACAAAATAGAGTGTATAAGGCCTATCAACTAAGCACATATATTATAGTTGTCCCCTATAGCATTTAAGGTTTGTGTTTCAGAAACAAGCAGCACAACCTCTGGTTATAATAAATGCAAGAAGCTCATAGGAGGGATTATGAAGATGCTCATAATCTAAAAGCAGACTTGGGGGCAGTGCTGAAATCACATGACTTAGGGTTCATAGGTTTTCTAGGATGGTTCAATTCTAGGGCTGTGAGCCTCTGAGTCTTCAGTCTTCATTTCCTCTTAAGATATGGAGGTTTGACCTCAGTGGTTGAGATGACTGACTGAGTAGCAGCTGCTGGCCCCTTCCACTCCTCCACTTAGATACTTAGATTTTTTTTTTTTTTTTTTTGTATTAGCTGGATCCATTGAAGTACATTTAGTATAGGAATCCATTGTGCCAGGTACATTACAATTAAGCTGGAAGGCGTCAGCCCAGAGGGCCTCAAACTTCAAAAAACTACAGACAACTAAAAAGTTCTGCAAGTGGGAGGGATTAGTCTTCCCCAGGGAAAGGCACACTGATTGGTTATTTAATACCAAATGGTCATCCCTGAAAACATATACAAGTAATATTATACAGGCAGAGTGGGTTGTACTTAGGAATACACACACATACCACATACGTGTGTGTGTGTGTGTGTGTGTGTGTGTGTGTGTGTGTAACTACAATTGATGAAAAAAGGGTCATGAAGTTGAAAGAGAGGAAGGGTGTATCTGAAGGTTTAAAGGGTAGAAAGGGAAAGGAGAAATAATATAATCATATTATAAAAAATATTTTTTTTAAAAGTTTGAAGCCATGACTTGGGGTGTATGTGTATGTGTATGCATGCACACACAGAGTCAGGGGCATGGTTTTTTTTTTTTCTTTTTTCTTTAGTTGATATTAAGAATCAAAGTTCTCAATAATAATTACAATGATATATTCTTTGAGATACAGTCATGTGACATTTAACCTCATCTTTAGGAGCAGATCAGAACTATTTTGTTTTCCAGTCGCTGAAATATATCTTTCCAAGGGTGGAGTGATAATTAGTTCTATTTACACTTAAAATGATCTAAAACGAATTTGGGTGTGGTTAAAAAAGTTGGAAGAAACAGGTCTGATAGTGATTTGTGAGCAGCACTGTGGCTTAGCCAACATGAAGCATAACATCATCAGTCCCTAATGGTTTTCCAACTTTAGAAAAAAGTTACTACTAATAATTATGTTAACAACCAAACATATTTATACTAACTTCATTTTGTTTCCTGAAGCAATGACCATTTTCCCAGTGTTCCAGACAAGCATTTGGACGTAAGGGTGACAGACCTGTGGTCATATGTCTAAGGAGTAGCAGCGTGGATGTTAGCTCACTCCAGAGCCCACTTACAGGGTGCTGTGGTACTTCCTCCCAAAGGCATCTCCATAGTGCATGTTCTTTGTTTTTGCCAGAAATCCCCAGGGATAAATCCTAGTGAACATACATGCAATCAGTGTCTGCACATGTGAAATAAGACCAGTAGAGCTGGCTTTAATTCTCATTGTCTTCACTTTAGATTAGTATGACATCTTATGTGGGCAAGGAACAAGGAAGACTGTTTTTTTGTTTTTTGTTTTTTTAAAAAAAGATTTTGGAGAAAGGTTTCTGTGTGATATTTCATGTAGTTGAAACGGCAACACATTCCCTGCCTTGTAGCCATCAGAAAATGAAGGAGATTGCTATGAATGGGTGTACTCAGTTAGTGTTAAAATTCTGTAAGTTGAAGGCAAAGTGAAAATGTATTTTCCTTAAGAGCAGTTCACTGCTTTCCTTTTAAATGACAAAATTACAATAATATTTGCCCTATCAATGATCAATATTCTAATTTATTTTGTTTTACAAAGCATATTGAATTGGTTGGAATTTTTTTTTTACCTTTTGTATAGCCATATGTACCTCCTGAATTAAAAAAATAAATAACATGATCTTGTTATTCATAAGTATTGAATGACATTTTAACATGCAATGCTGTACATTGTAGGGTTTGACCTGATTCAGTTTCTGGCTTTATTTTTTTCTTCCAGTGTCTGTATTTATGCTAAAAGTCCAGGTGAATGACATCATCAGTCGCCAGTACCTGAGTCAAGCAGTTGTGGAGGTATTTGTTAACTACACGAAGACAAATTCTATGGTAACTAGAAACAATGGAGCAGTATTGATAAAAGTACCCTACCAATTAGGACTCAGCTTAACCATCATTGCTTACAAAGATGGCTACGTCTTGACACCTCTGCCTTGGAAAACTGGAAGGATGCCAAGTAAGTACCTCAGTGGTATTTTTCACTCACAAATGTACATGACTTCCCCCTCTGTTGGAGGAGAATCTGTTGAGCTGAAAATGAGAATGCCTCCAAGAATGCCATATAATATAATATAATATAATATAATATAATATAATATAATATAATGTTTTTAAGGAAAGGAAGATTTGTACCAAACAGTCTTTGTCTGTTTGGAATAAAACAAAACACCACAAACTAGGTAGCTTGTAAACAACAGAGATATTTAACACTTCTGGAGGTGAGGACCAAGACCAAGATTGAAATAGCAATGGGTTTACTGTCTGGTGAAGGCTTGCTTTCTGATTTATGTAGCTACTTTCCATTTTATAGATACCAACTTCTTACTTTGTTCTCACATGGAAGAAAGAGTCTTTAGTGCTATTTTTTTTTAAGGCAGTTTAATTCCATTGATGAAAGCCTCTGCTCTCTTAATTACTCCAAAAGCTCCACATTTTATACTACAGCTTTTTTTTTTTTTTTTTAGTAGGATCACAGCAATCATGAAGGTACTTTATCTTCCATGGAGGCTGTGCATTGCCTAGTTGTGGGTTCCTGTGATAATTATCCTTTCCTATAAAGAAACCTCTCTGATGAGGGTTGAATGAGACACTGATTTATGGTTATAGCAGTGTATCATTAGCAGTCATTTTATTGCCATGCTTCATTAGCATTAATGATCATACTAAGTGTCTCTTAGAACCCATGACCTATTTAGTCTCAAGTTCTTGGTCACTTTAGCAATGTCAGGTTTGGGTTCCATCTCATGGAGTAAGTCTTAAGTTCAATAAAGTGGTTGGCTAGTCCCATAATATTTATGGCACTATTATACCTGTTATCTTCCAGAAAAATTGCTGTTGTAGGTCTCAGGGTTTATAGATGGGTGATGTTGATGATTACTCATCTCCTCTGGTGGTGTGTAGAGTAGTTTCCAGCACCGTGGATGATAGTAGGGGTAGAGCTTCTGGTTGGTCATCACTCAGTTTTTGCATGTTCAATGATGTAAGTATGGGATGTCTTCAGCAATAGGGTCTTTACCATTAGGACATGAGGGTAACCAGTAATCTTGGTAATTGTCTGTGATGTTTGATGGTGGGGATCTATGGGACCTCTTTGTCCAATGACTCAACAAGATGTAATCCATACCCGGAACTGAAGGATTTACTTAGTGGCATGAGATGTCTATGTAGGGCATTGCCTTCCCCATTATATGATGATTTAATTTAAATTTCTTTCAAATTTGTATATTTGTACAGTAGAAGCTATCCATATGTCTTTGAAATGACCTTTAGTGTTAATGTCCCTTCCTGTGTTCCCTGCTTTACTCTGCTCTCCTACCCCTTTCCATTTAATCCTCTTATTCTAGTTTCTGCGTTATTTCTTTATAATGACACTCTATTTCCCTTTCCTTGGAAGGACCCATCCTCTGCCTTGGGCTCCTACTAGGTATCTTGTCTCTGTGATTGTTTTGACTGAAACATACACATATCTAAAGCTTTAAAGCTAACATCCTTATATATGAGAAAGCATACGATATTTGTCTTTTTTGGCTCTGGGTTACCATAATCGGGATGATCCTTTCTGGCTCCCTCCATCAATTAACCTGCAAATTCTATGTTCCTTAACAGCTGAATGCTATTCCATTATTCCGTGAATATGTAAATGTACCACGTTTTTATTATCCATTCATCAGGTGATGTACATCTAAGCTATTCCCAATTTCTGGCTATTATGAAAAGAGCCACAATGAACATGGATGAGCATTGTAGTAGGATGAAGAGTCCTTTGGGTATATCAAGAAGCTTTTGAGGCATACTCTGCCTCAGTTTCCCCTATGTTAAAAATTTTGATTGTGTTATCCTATTTCACAGTTTATTCTTCAGTTACACTTTCACTGTTCCCACAAAGCCAAGCAAATATATGGCTCTTCGAAGACACTGTTTTGATTACTGGAAAATTAGCTGGTAAGTCTACTACATTTTTAGTAAGGAAGTTCTTAGAGTGATTATTTTATAAAAGAATCAGGGTTGATTATAACTTGGCAAAGTCCAAGTTGAGTATTGATGGTAAGTTGATCTGTACTAGTTTCTATCTTACTATAAACTATATTTTGAGGTATTAAAATAATTATTTTCAGGATCCACTGCACATGGGAATCTACAATGTGAGGAAATAGGAGAAATTGCTCTGTCTTCACTGCCTCCTCTCTCATTGGGACTTTTATGGTTGGTGAAACTGTGACAAGGACAGATATGTATCCCAGACCTCTGGGCTCCCTAACTTACTGTTTCTTCCTGTACCTTCAGTGTGAGTCTGGCTGCTAATTCAGGAGAGGCCTATGACTGGGGAGTTCCCATCTTCTAGGCAGCCTTCACTGGTGGAACTTGCTACTTGTAAAAAGAGGGCAAAACGTCTCATTTGGGGGTGTTGGCTCAGGCGGGTTTCTTCCCTGCTTTAACCAACTATGAAGATAATACTTTGACCCTTTATTTACCTCCAAGTGACCCTTAATTGATCCTTGGGAGAAAACTAGACATTCTGTTTTTCTTTTGATACTATTACATAATGCCTTCACGAATTACAACTATTTGTTCAATTTGTATTGGTCAGTTAATGTTCAGTGCTAATATAATGGAAATGACTAAAAAGTCAGAAATCTTCATGAATGACTCAGTCAAGAGAGGCATGGCCTACAGAATTGTTTGTGAAAATTCACATTTAGAAGCTAATCTATGCATCTCTGAAGTACTAATTAGGAACACTTAATAGTACTCATTAGAACTTGAACTCGAGCTTGATTACACTTAGAGTGACTTAGTAAGGCTTTAGACCCTCTTTCTCTAGATGTTGGAGCATTGGGTACTCATTTTGCTAGCATGTGGCAGACTATAATAAGTTTTGTGTGGCCACATGGATACAGAGGTTCTGGTTTCATGCTGCTGGGGCTTTAATGAAACTAGATACAGACATTTCTCCCTCCCTCCCTTTTACCCTCTCTGCCCTCTCACATGCACCCTAACCATTCTCCCCTCCTATTCCCCCCCCACCCCAATTCCATATGTAGGGGAATGCCATCCAGTTGGGGGTCATGTAGATCTGACAGGTCATGTGAAGTAGGGACTAGGGCTTCTCTCCTGTCTCTAGGTTAAGGCAGTTATCCCTCCAAGGGGGATGTGTTCGCAAGGTCCTTTTGTGCACCAGGGATACATCCTGGCTCCACTGTCTGAGGTCCCTTAGACTGCTCAGTCCTTCTGGCTGAGATCCATATTCAGGGGGGCCTGAGTCAATCCCATGCTGGCTTCCCAGCTATCAGTCTGGTGGCCCGTTAGCTCCTCCTTGTTCAGGTAAGCTGTCTCTATGTGTTTCTGCAGCCTGGTCTTGTCCTCTTCATCTGCATCTGGGTTCTAGTTCGACTCAGTGTTTGTGTATGGGTGTTTGCTCCTGTTTCCAACAGGTATTAGATGAGGGCTCCATGGATAAGTTAGTTGTTGATCTCACTATCTGGGAAGAGCATTTATGGTAGCCATTCCACGGATGCTCAAATTGTTAGTTGGCGGCAGTCTTGTAGTTCTCTAGACGAAAGTCTCATATTTTAGAAGAGAATGTATTAGATAATAGTTTGAGTGATCTGAAAATACCAGTTTCCTTAAATATTAACCAAATAATAATGAACATATAACTGCTGTTTCATGCCAGTGTTTTATGGTTGTTATTTTTCCCTTTATGCAGAAATCCTAGAAACTGATTTTAAGAATTATCTGACATTATTCTTCTTTTATCACACAAATCTTTAAAATTTTATACATTTTTTTCATCCTAGTAACTTAAATAATTTCTTCTATCTTTATTGGTGATCTTATTAAAGTCCAAGGCCAAAGGTAATGTATCTGATAACCTACAATTTTAATTTAGGAATTTATTCTTGGCTTGTTAAATTGTATTGGTTATAGATATAGCAATATGTCACTGAGTTCTCAATTGATAAACATTTGAAGAGAGACAATTCAACACCATTGAAATGAGGTAATATATGTATATGCCTGGAATCTGACATTTGGAAAACTTTAAAATTGCTGTGTGCCTATCTGATGGAGAAACCTACCCATTTCAGTATGTGGCTGGATGTTCTGAAGATCTGTTATTGAAAGTTGCTAAAAACCTACCCTAAACTAGCAAAACCCCAAAGGAACTATTTATCTTTTGTAAATCAGGGTCAACTTCAGGCAAGACTTAATCTGAAGGACAAGCAGGAATAACTGAAAAACAGTTTTTCCTCTCTCCATTTCTCAATTCTATCCTGTGAACACTGCCTCCATTTTCAAAAACAAACTCTCATTTTGGGTTACAAGATGGGACTCTGTGGGAGACAAAACAAGCCTTCCATTCTGCATCCAGGCGAGCACCAGCACACACCTCATTAGTTGCGCTTGGGGCTAGACTCATTGCTAAGGATGAACAAAACGCTTGATTGGGCTTGGCCCATTCTGACACACACCATCAACCTCCTGCTGTAGAACCATGCAGGCTGAGGATGGTCAATTTATGGTTCCCTAAAGTGAGATCTGAAAGAGCCATGAAGAAATTCTGGGCAGAGTCATGCAGTTCTAGTCGGGAGGTGTTTTGTAATCTAAAAGAAACATGTAATGTGAATACTGTATGTTACCTTTGTATGTTTCAGAACTTTGCATTATTTATTTATACTTCTGCTTTGTACTCATGTTTCTTAATGTATCAATATAAGCATCAGTGACTCGTTTGTGATCCACAGATTGATACTATTGAGGAATAAAAGTACTCATTATGTAAATATAGAAAAAAGAAGCCTCTTAGTTTTGAATTATGTGAGGTGTTAGTGACACTCAGAAATCATTATAACTACATCCTGTAGAAGAAAATGTCCTGACCAGTGAGGCTGTTTTTAATATGCATTAATATTTTAAACATGTGTTTGTCCATTTGTTAATGGGATTTCCTTTGTTTAGATGCCAAATCTCAACCAAGTGTTCAGTTCTCAAAAGCCTTTATCAAACTTCCTGACAACCATCAAATTAGCAACGTGACTGGCTATCTAACAGTTCTACAGCAGTTTTTAAAGGTGGACAATTTTCTGTATACAACTGGAATCACTCTTAACAAACCAGGTATTTTCTACTTTTTAAATATGTAATCATGTTTCTAAAAAATATCAGCACATAGCCCATCAAATACCATTTATTTATGTATACAATATTACACATTTTATTTTTATTAATGCTTTGCAAAACACATGTTCCTTTTGAAATATCTATCATTGTTTATATGCAATGTCTTTTTATAAAAAAGAATAATTAAGCCAAGTGGAGTAGCCCACATCTTTAATCCCAATACTTGGGAGATAGAAGCAGGTGGATCTCCCTGAGTTTGAGGCCAGCCTGGGTACAAAGAGAGTTCTAGGGCAGCCAAGGCTGTTACATAGAGAAACCCTGTCTCCAAAAACAAACAAACAGATAAACAAAACAAAAAGGAATAATTATACCAATGTCTTTGGCATACATTATGCCAAATTAATCAAAATAAAAATGTACTTTCATATTCATTCATTTGAACCAAAGGAAGTAAGCAAAATATAGGAAAAATTGTGATACTTTGCAAAATAATATACTGAGAAACTTTAACTTTAATGTGTATCCCAGTTTGACTTTCTCTTTTTTTAAGGTTTTATTTATTATTTGTACAGTGTTCTGCCTGCATGCATTCCTGTACACCAGAAGAGGGCACCAGATTTCATCACAGATGGTTGTGAGCCACCATGTAGTTGCTGGGAATTGAACTCAAGACCTCTGGAAGAGCAGTCAATGCTCTTAGCTCCAAACCATCTCTCTATACATGACTCCCCCCCCCCCTTTAGTTTGACTTTCTACTTGGTCTGTCTTAGCTAAGAAAGAAACTAGCCCATAGTCCCCAGCTCTGATGTTATGCTCTTATGGTTTATAAGTTAAGGAGTGAATGGAAGTTTGCTTTTAAAACAAAATTAAAAACACAACCACATTTGCCACACCATTTCTGCTATTCTTTATACATCTAACTGAAACTCCACTTTTTAAAATGACCTCAGACAATTAATAAATTTGAATATTTTAGTGGCATCATGTTTTTGGTTCATTTGGGTACATCTAGAAAGGAGTGTAAAAAGAGTGTATCATAGAAATATTATTTATTATAAATTATAAATAGAATTGATGTTCCCAGTTTTGCAGCCAGACGAAGCCCACTCTTTGTCACAAGCCTGTTTCCTACTGCACACAGCAATCACAGCCTGAGGGTACTGCCTGGTTTACGAAGCAGGTTTTGTCCTTACATGGGGCATACAAGAGTTGACACATTAAGGCTCCTTTGTCCTGGCTTTGGCTAGTGGACTTGTACTGGAGTTAGTTATCTCATTGCTACTCCTTCACTAACATGTCCCCTGTTGGCATCTTTCCTTGTATACTAAGATTCCACTCCATTGGTGGTTGTTTCCGGGAACTACTTCCCTGGTCAGTTCCTGCTCAAATTATCCCAAAGCCTGCTTCTTGAAGAAGTTAGTCTAAGACATCTGACAAGGTTTTTCTTAATGTAAGTTAGAGGCTATGAAAACTAAAAGCATTTACATGAATGCTACAACACTGGCTGTCACAGGGGAGCTCATGCTGTATTGGATCGTGTTCAAGGCAAGGCTCGTGAGACGTGGGCAGGGTTACAATGAGCTTTCCTCTCAAAATTTTGCTTTAAATACATTGGGTCTTGTAAGGGGACTTGTCTGCTTTGTCCAGCTTGGGGCCACTGGTCACATGTGTGCTTTCTGAGTTTAAGATGTCGTCCATGCATCAAAGGTCTAGATTTTTTTAAAAGAGCACATTTACATTTTGTAGCTAATAAGCCAAAATACCAATATACACCAAGCTTTTAAGTAAGCTTGTTAGCTAATTGTGCATAAAATTTTATCAAATGTTTAGATTTTTTTGGTGGGGGTTCAAGACAAGGTTTCTCTGCTCTATAGACCAGGCTGGCCTTGAACTCACAGAGATCCATCTGCCTCTGCCTTCCAGTGCTGGGATTAAAGGCATACTCCACCAATGGCCGGCTCAAAGGTTTAGGTTTTACTGAATTCATTTTATTATAGAGAACAAAACCTCATTGTAATAGACAACTTTTTATTTTTTTAAAGTTAAGAGACATTTTGAGCTTTTCAAAATTAAGCATAAGGCTGTGTATGCCTTGTGTGGGCTGAATGAGGTACATTTTATGGGAAGACACTGGTCTCCAAAAGGGACTTGAGGGGACCTGTCAGCTCCAGGTTCACCTAGTTACAGGTGTTGCAGTGGTTTGGGCTCTACTTTGGCCATTTAATTATTTTCTCCTATTGGATTTGCACAGTTCTAGAACCCTGTGAATTTACTGGTGTTTTGTTTTTTAAAACTGAAAGATAGGGTTGCACTTAGGGCATAGAGTGTGTGTACTCAATGCAGCATGTGCGTGGAGGCCAGAAGACAACTTCTGGGAGTCAGTGTTCTCTTTCCAACTTCTACTGAGCTGCAGGAATCAAACTCACATTATCAGGCATGTACAGCAAGTACCTTTACCCACTGAGCTTTTTCACTAGCCTGGGATTAGGTCTTCAAAAACATTCAGTCGGATTCTAGTGTCCTTAAGTCAGATGACTCTGAGAGAATTAGATTAACCAAAGCTTATACTGATTGGTCAATGTTATATTATTAGCATTTATTTATGAAATATTTTGCAATTATATTTAAAAACATTTAATGTACAGCCAATAGAGTATTATTAGATGGATAACAACGATGAAATAATAGAGAAAAATGAATTTTAGAGCCATAACAACATGCAACATCTGTTTGAGTAAAATATTAATAAATTTTACTGTCTTTTAGGTTTGGAAAACATTGAGTTGACTCCTCTTGCTGCCATATGTGTGAAAATATATTCTGGAGGAAAAGAATTGAAGGTGGATGGCTCTATTCATGTATCTCTTCCTCTTCTACACACAAATAATGTAAACATGGGAGATCGAATACCTGCTTGGACATTTGATATGAACACAGGTATGGTAGCTAACAGAAAATAGAATATATTTCTCTTGGATATTTGAATGTTTCATCTTAGAGCTTTGGACATATTTAGGTTTTCACTAACATTATTATTTTGTACACTTCATTAAGGACCATAATTGGCCTCACTGGTACATGTGTTTGTGAGGAAAAATGATGCTAATACATTGCCTTGGTTGCTTTTCCAATTGCTATAGTAGAATATTCTGACAAAAGCAACTTAAAAGAGAGAGGATTTACTTTGACTTATAACCATGATGGTTATAGTGCATCATGGGGAAGCTATAGTAGGGGAGGGGTTGAGGCAACTGGTCACTCTGCATCCACAGTCAAGATGTGGAGAGTGATTGTGGCTGTTGATCATCTGCCTTTCTCCTTTTACACCATTCAGGATCACAGTCCAGTGCCAGGTGTCTCTCACAGTGGCTTTGTCTTCCTCTTTCAGTTGAGCCCTTCAAGATAATTCTCCACAGGCATGCCAAAGGAGGCCCATTTCCCACAGTGATTCTAGATCTCATCAAGCCAACAACTGAGGTTAACTATCACGTACATTATTTAAAAACAAACAAAAATTTGAATGTTATTCACCCACATTGTCTTGTCTTCCTCTAACATTCTGAGAAAGACATAATTTAAGATTAAAAAATATTCCCCCAGGAAATTTTAGTAGGCAGTCTGAGATTATCTGAAAGTCTAGTTACCACCATCAAAAATTTATGCTAATATCTTGGCAATAAATAACACAAGCGAGGTACCAATTTTATTCATTCTGTTTTTTCTTCCTAGATGGCAACTGGGAAGCACTTTCTCTAGTTGTGTTTTTGTTCTCATGTACATAAAGTAGTAGTGTAAATTTCTAAAAGCAAATAAATAGGGTGGTGGGTCCAGTCACATGGCCTGGTAAAGAGAATTCTACAGAGCCTGGATGGTCTTTCAGGACTTGCTTCATCTCCTTTCTCACCCATTTCCTCTGTGTTAGCACCTTCCTAAGATATTTTGAAATGTCCAGCAGAAGGTTGTTGGTGCTATAGCTTCTAACTGTACACTTCACCAGGTTGAAGACTAGTGGAAAGACAGATATGCTTTGGTTGGTAGCCACAACACAATCCCTTCCATGCACTGTGTTGTATAATAGAGTTTGTGCAAGTAGAATGTACACATTTTATATAGGATTAGCTCACAGGTTGATGTGGTATGGAATCCTGTGGATGTTATCTGGGGACAGGGAATGGAAAGAAAGCCAACAGAGATTTGTGATTGGATGCCCCTGAGAATGGAAGGGTGGATTGTAAGGCCAAATCCACACAAATGTCCACTCTGGAAGATAAGCTGTATATGTCTGTGCTCTGTCAATTAGTGGAAGCCATGCAACTAATAGTGGTAATCTACTACTGAGAGTTTTGGGTTAGTTCAAATGAGATTTGGGATCTAGTCTTCTTACCAGCAGTGAGACAAGCCATTTAAGTGATTTGGGACTCAGTGTCTTCAAATTACTTTAAGGAAGAATGTGCTGTTTGAGTTCTGGGTTTTGGTCACTATTCCTGGAAAAGGCCTTTTTTGAATATCCCTTTGAGTAAAATGGTTTAAAATGAGGGATGATGAGATGAAGGTAAGGGTGTTTACATTAGCCTGCCAACTTGAGTTTGCCTCACAGAATACATGAAAGAATGGGAAATTTTACAGTTTACCTTTGCCCTTTGACCTCCCTGTGTTCATTATGGCACGTGCACCCACACATCACACACCCCCACACTCACACACAAATTTAAATTGTTTTCAATTTTAATTAATTTATCATACATGCTATGCTAAATTTAACTTAAACTAAAAGTGATAGATTGGGCCATTCTATCATCTCAAGTTTTTCTACTTTATTATTAACTGTTTGATCAGCATTGTTGAAAATTATTGGATTTATTCACTTTTGTATGACTGAATTAATATTGCACAGATATATTTTATTTGCCCATTAATCCACTGGCAGACATCTTGATTGGTTCCATATCTTGGCTATTGTAAACGATGCTCCAGTAAACGCAAGGCTGAGGGGTACAAAAACAGGAGGGATTCCATAGTGGGGTAAATTATCTGAAATAAATTTTGATATGTTTCAAGATAAGTAGATGGGTTCAGAGGTTCATATCCTATAAAGGTGATTGGTGTGTGTAAAGGCAATGGAAATTCAGAAATACATGTGAATATCTGTGAAATTCTACCGTATATCTTAAGCATGTACAAGTGTATGAACTAAGGATAAAAAAATATAGCCCATTTTACATTTTGTAGATAATAAGCCAAAATACCAATACACACCAAGCTTTTTAAGTACCTTTGTTAGCTATTTGTACATAAAATTTTATCAAAGGTTAGGTTTTTACTGAATTCATTTTACTATAGATGACAAAACGTCATTGTAATAGACAACCTTTTTTAAAGTTAAGAGACAGTTTGAGCTTTTCAAAATTGAGTGTGAGGCTGTGTATGCCTTGTGTGGGATGGATGAGGTACCTTTAGTGAGAAGACACTGGTTCCCAAATGGGACTTGAGGAGGCCCATCAACTCCAAGCTTACCTAGTTACAGGTGCTGCAGTGGTCTGGGTTCTACTCTGGTCATGTAATAATTTCCTCCTGGATCTCCCGACTCCGTTCTCCATGGTAAAGAAGAACAGATCAGAGCTTGCTTCCCAGTTATGGCACCATGCCTGTGTTGAACTGGTTTAAGTTCTGACACCTCAGATGAAAACTGCATGTGAAGTCTGCCTCATTCATGGATGCAGCTCTTGGACAAAAAAAAGTGATAAGGCCAAAAAACATATTCTGTATGTGTTTAATCACAGTCTCAGGACAAATGACAAATAACTACCTGTTGATGAATTGGGATTTATTCCTCTCTTGTTACCTGTCTGATGTTAGAGACTAGACTCTGGGATTCAAGAACTTTAGCCTTTCAATTAGATTTTTAGTCTTATCTTCTTTATTATTATCTTCTTTAGTCATGACAACTCACTCACATTATGTTATTATGCATATATTATATTGAGTATGATATAAAACTTAGTATTTATTATCCTTGATATTTACTATCATGTTATTTATAATTTCTGAAATGTTCTGAATTCTTTATGTGACTATCAGAAAACTCTGTTTTTATACCTTAGCTCTAAGATTTAGAATTATACCTAACTGTTTTTCACTCACCACGTTTTAGGTGCTTGGGTGCATCATGGCTGGGGAGTAGTCAAGGCGCATAACAGTCATTTGATTTGGACATATGATGCACCACATTTGGGCTACTGGATAGCTACTCCATTCCCAGGAGCTAGAGGTACTGTAAAAATGAAACAAAGTAATTTTAAAGAATAATGCACATAAGCATGCTGGAGATGACATCGGTTGGCTTAGCTTAGGCCAAGCAAGGCCATGTACAGGTGAATGAAAGTGGACACCCCTCTCCCCTTTTTCTTGTACACACAACCAAAAGATTAAGCTCCATAAACTCTCTTACTAGTGAATCTATGAAGACTGCAGTTTGTTCCAGTATTTTCTTTTCTTTCTTTCTTTCTTTTTTTTTTTTTTCAAGACAGGGTTTCTTTGTGTCACAGCCCTAGCTGTTCTCAAACTCACAGAGATTCACCTATCTCTGCTTCTTGAGTGCTGGGATTAAAGTTGTGCTCCACTGCTGCCTGGCTGTTCAGTGTTTTCTAAGTTTCTGTTTTCATGAATAAATTCTACCCAGCAGAGTTAGAGCCTCTGGCTATAAGAAACAGGGACGTTTTGAGTAATTTTTTTTAAAGGTGAAGAATATGTGTGTAGTTTACAGGATCCTGGAAAAGCCAGACATCTCTACAGTTCCAGACACCTGACCAGAGTTTGGTCAACTCTTCACCAGGTGGCCATCACTGACTCTCATCCTTTCCAGCCTCTCCTCTCACCCTGCTTGATCTTTCTGAGGAAGAAGACTCTGGAGGACTTTAGAGGAGAGGCTGTTGGATAACATTGTCTCCAGATTGTTTTGAAAGATCAGATAGATGGTGTACAGGATGGTTATTGATCTGACAGTTTGAACAGATGGTGGCTGGAAGCTGGTGGCCACACATCTAGGATTCTTCACTAGGGTTGATCCATGCAGTTCTACCACAAAATACTTAACATGGTATCAAATTATGTGAGGAATCTGAACCTAAGGAAGCCCCACATTTATCAGATCTAGTAAATTTATCAAAAATTTTAAAAGTTATTTATTTATTCAAGCTCTTAAGTTTTCCTGAATAGAACTGGGCATAGTGATGCACACTGTTATTCCCAGCACTCAGGAGGTAGAGGCAGGCAGGTCTCCATGAGTTTGAGGTCAGCCTGGTCTATACAGAGAATTTCAGGACAGCCTGAGCTACATAGTGAGATGATAAAGCTGAAACAAAACAAAACAACAAACAGCAAACAAACAACTCCCAAACAAAAACAAAACAAAACACCCCAAAACCTTCCTGAACCCAGAAACATCTTTTCATATGCTAGAGGCTGGATGGATTTTGTCGACCTGGCCATCACTTTAATTAAAATAACAATCCCATCATTCTCTATTTTGCTCCCACATAATTTGAGTTTCCACTATTACAATTCCCTTGAACAATTTTCTTCACAGTTCACTTTAAGGCTTGGAAGCCAGGGTCACACATTTTTTAGGGTTTTGTTTTCTCAGTAGTTCAGCAGCCAGATACCAGTTCTGTAAGAGCGAGCTGTTACACAGCCATCAACCTATTTTAGGTGCTGTATTATTTATTTACTGTTTAAGTATGTGTGTTTGGAGTTCATTTCTCTGCTCTTGGGTTTGGCATGGTTCAACTCAACGTGTTTTCTTATTTCAGAACTCAGGTCGAATGCAGAGTGACATTCTAGGACACACTCTTCCACGTCAGAGTGCCTTAGCAAGATGGCCAAGCCATAATCACATGTGTTGATGCCACATTAGAGAAAAAGGCTCTTCCTCTTGGAGTAGTTTAAACCAAGAGTGATCCCAAATCTGGATTCTACACTTCTCTCCTTGTATCTTCTGTCTGCTTCTAACAAAGGGCTTTATTCTATATTTATTGAATAGCATAGAGAATGTGGTATGGAAAGTGAACTAGAAATTTCTTATCTTATTTAGTTACTTATTTTTACCAGCATTTACAAGGGAAGAATTTACTGACCCCCAAGTAGCACTCAAAACTGCAAATAGATGCTATCAACCTACATCCACTTGTCAATTCCAATATTTATGGCAAATATTTGTTTTTTTTTAAGGTTGCTTTCAACATACTGACTAGTTTCTTAAAAAAAAAAGAATACCACAATGCATATATATTATTCTGGGTCAGGATCATGGGAAAGTCACAAAGGAAAGAGGGGGAAATGATGTGAAATTAAAGCCGTGCATTCAGTTTATTTTTAAAAAATTAATTAGGCAGGAATCCCAAAGCATAGTGAGATTACATTGCTTTCTTAAAGGTAAGTTAAACTAAATAGGCTAAATACACATCAGGGAAACAGACTGAATACATACTTTTAAATGGTCTGAATGCATGATATGAACTAGGATGCAATATTAGGCAAAAGGTTCAGTTTCTGAAGGCAAGTGGTATTTTGGAAAAAAGCTGTCCCCCATAGTCAGGCAACCTCATTTCAGGTATTCCAAATTCATTGATCAAAGCAAGTCAGTTGATTAATCCCACTGAACATGAAAGTTGTAGTTCACCCACAGGAAGGATGCAAACCGACAGAAACCAGCATACATACTCAGTCAACTCATCTAGGATGAAACAAAACTAAGAGTCTAATCCCAAGTAATTTGTTTTTCTGTGTTTACATTGAATCATGCAGGTTCAGGTATAAATGAAGATTCCAAAGACATAACTGCCTACCACACAGTGTTCCTTACAGCCATATTAGGAGGAACAATAGTTATCATCATTGGATTTTTTGCTGTGCTACTCTGTTATTGCAGGTAAGAACAGCACTAATCTATGTGTATAGACAGAGTTATCATAGTATAACTTCAGTATATTGTGCACTATAGAGTTCATTTATAGAAATTATTAAGGGCTTAGTGGTTAAAAAATACTTGCTTTTATTGAAGCAGCAAGCATGGGGGGCCTCAAAGGTCCTCTGTGTATATGTTACGTCTGTTAGCTTGGTGTTTTTGTGGAACTCCTACTAGTGGGAATGGGTGTGCCTCTATTTCTTTTTGTCTGCTCTTGGGATTCCTTTCCTCTGTTGGGTTGCCCTGTCCAGCCTCTGTATGAAGGCTTTTGCCTTGACTTATTGTATCGTGTTTTGTTGTGTTTGGTTGTTGTCTCTTGGAGGCGGGAGGGAAATTGAAAGGGAATAGATCTGGGCGGGAGGTGAGGTGGGGAGAAGCTGGGGGGGGGTGGAGAGAGGGAAACTGTGGTGGGGTGTACTGTATGCAAGAAGAATCTATTAAAACAAACAAACAAACAAAAACACATGCTATTCCAAAGAATCTGAGTCCTGTGCTAGGCACTCATATTTGCCTGTAACTCCAGCTCTCGGGGCTCTGATATGCACATCCATACACATAAATAAAAATTTAAAAATTGCAAAGAATCATTTATCCTTTAATATATGTATAATGGAAATCAAAACAAATGTATCCTAATGTCAACATTAGAATTGTATTTGTATGTTTTGGTATATTTTTCTTTGGTGAATCATATAGATTGTAACTTTTAAGTATCTTTCATTTATTTTTTTCTACTCTAGGGGTAAGTGTGGAACGCCACAGAAAAGAGAAAGAAATATCACTAAACTTGAGATCCTCAAGAGAGACCAGACAACATCAACAACACACATAAATCATATCAGTTCAGTCAAAGTTGCATTGAAAGCCGAGGATAAGGCACAATTATTTAATGCTCAAACCTCATCCTACAGCCCCCCAAAAAAGGAAAACGCAAAGATGGAAGCAGAAGAAAGAATTTCCATGGTGAAAACTCGGGACAATTTTAAAATCTACAATGAAGATGTTTCCTTTCTGTCAGTCAATCACAATAACTACTCAAGAAATCCAACACAGTCTTTGGAGCCAAGTATAGGAAGCAAACAACCTAGGCACATTAACAACAATCTCTCCCCATCGTTAGGCGGCGCTCAAGAGGAAAAGAGGTATCTTACAGGAAGTGAGGAGGTGTATGGGCGGTCCCACATTCCTGAGCAGCTTATGCACATCTACAGCCAGCCCATTGCCATTCTTCAGACTTCAGACCTTTTCTCCACACCAGAGCAGTTACATGCTGCTAAGTCTGCCACTTTGCCACGAAAGGGACAGTTGGTCTACAGCCAATTGATGGAACCAGTTAATAGAGAGAACTTTACACAAACATTGCCCAAAATGCCGTTGCATTCTCACGTTCAGGCCACAGATGCCAGAGAAGAGGACATTGTACTTGAAGGTCAACAGAGTTTGCCATCCCAGACTTCAGATTGGAGCCGCTACTCCAACAGCTTGTTGGAGTCCGTGTCTGTTCCTGGAACTCTAAACGAAGCTGTTGTGATGACCCCTTTTTCATCAGAACTCCAAGGCATTTCAGAGCAGACCCTCCTAGAGCTGTCCAAAGGCAAACCCTCTCCGCATCCCAGGGCATGGTTTGTGTCTCTTGATGGAAAGCCTGTGGCACAAGTGAGACACTCCTTTATAGACTTGAAAAAAGGCAAGAGAACCCAGAGCAATGATACAAGTCTAGATTCTGGGGTGGATATGAATGAGCACCATCCGAGCAGAAAGCTGGAGAGGGAGAAAACGTTCATCAAAAGCATGCATCAGCCCAAGATCCTTTACCTGGAAGATTTAGACCTGAGCAGCAGTGAGAGCGGAACCACGGTCTGCTCCCCTGAGGATCCTGCATTGAGGCACATCTTAGATGGAGGCAGTGGGGTTATTATTGAGCGCCCTAGGGAAGAGTCTCCGGGAAGGAAAAGCACTGTGGAAGATTTTGAAGCCAACACATCTCCCACTAAAAAAAGAGGCAGACCACCACCACTAGCCAAAAGAGATAGCAAGACTAACATCTGGAAGAAACGAGAGGAACGTCCACTGATTCCCTTAAACTAATCGTGAGAGCCATGTTTCTCTGTCGTTTCATGGTGGTGTATTCTTGCTTCTTGTAAATTGCAGTATGAACTTCTTGGGAAACTGAGACTGAGCAATCTCACGGGCCTTAGGCACATCTCAAGCAAAGTAGATGGTAAAATATAATTCAAAAAACCGTAAATGCTTTCTTTGGCCTGTTCTTTTCATCTGCTTTTGAGTGATGAAGATATCCACATTTTCAGAATGTAAAATAATGTAAAGATGTTATCTGAAAATGTTGCTCAGTTTGCCAATTGGCACTGACTCTTAAGAATCCAGTAGTGAAATACGTGCTACAGCTACTCTCTAAAATCTTGCCTCTGCCTTGGGCTCGTGGAGCTTAAAAGCAGGTGTCTTCTCTGCGCCTCATCCCCCTGCAGTGTGACTGTGATGTCTTTTCCTGCCTATGCTTAAAAACAACTTGATAAATGTTGGGGCGGACGTTAAAGACCAAATGACACTTTCTTTCTTAAGATTGATGGCTTATCGATTGTCAGCACCATAGTAAATCCTGTGCCCCTATGACACAGGCAGGAAGCCCCCTGTTCATTAGAGGAGACCCAACTCTGGTTATTTGGGGATATAGGTTTATGGAGCAAATAAGGCGTTGAATTATTATGTAGACTCTTGATAAATGAAAACACTGATATTGTCATTTTATTTTCAGATGAAGTGACCTTAGTTGCCAGGTGAGAGGAGGCTCTGGTTTGCTTTAAGGCTCACTAACCCATATAGGCTAAAATCTATTTTTAATACTCTTTTGTCATAACCCCAATTAAACTTGATTAAAAACACAATAATTTCTTGTGGATGCCAAAAAAGAAAAAAATGAAAGTGTGTAGACTGTGGAGATAAGGACAATGAATATTCCATGTAATTTGGCAGGAAAGGAAAGGACATTTTGATATTCAAAGACCCTCCAGGGTATGAGTTACACATCTTCAGGTTGACACTTTTAGAAAAGATGTTTGAGGAAAACATTCAGGGTTTCAAGAGGGAGCTTCCTTGTCACCTGTGCCCATACAGCCTCACTTGTCAGTTTCAGGCATTATCCCTGTCCTTCCCTCGATGTGAACTCAGGTGCTGCTTTCAGTGATGTGTCCCCAACTCTTCTACAAATAAGGCCTCTTTGACCCAATCAACCCATCCTCTTGTACCTAAAAGTTTTCACGAGGACACATTTGTGCAGCAGCTCTCCCTTTCCTTTTGATGGGCAGAAATGATTCTTCTTACCCCCTACTGTTCAATGCATGAGCAGCAGAGGAGATCCAAGCCACCTAAACAAGTTTAAGTAAACTGAAACAGACACCCCAACTTTGTAAAATTGTAGATAGTTATACAGCAGTACCCCACCCTGAGACAATAGACTTCAGCCAGTTTCTCCTGTAATCCCTTCTGAAATACCTTATCTGTTGGAACTCTCCTGGCTTTGTGAATTTAACCCAAAGAATGCAAAGACCTTTGCCTATGTTTCTTGTATATTACTCCTCTTTATATGTGTTTGGGGAACACATAGGCTTGCTATTGGGGGTAGAGTGACAAGGCTCACATTTAGAGGGGGGCTCTTTATTGGCCTCACACAGAAATAGATCATAAATAGCATGGAATGACTTGGATGAGTTTAAGGAGTTAGTGCTCTGTGGAAGTGCCTTTGACTTGGACTTGCATTAGGAGGATAACTAACATCTCTCTTCAGTGTACATTTCGTTAGCCAAATTAAACAGATGTGCAGTTATTAAAAACTATATAGCCCTAGTGTTTCACGTTGGAACAATGAATTTGCATGTAACGTTTTCTTTTGTGTGCTGTTTTTTGAAACCACAATATATTGATAAATTGTTTCTATTGGAATGAGGGTAGGAGCTATCTAGTGAAGTGCTGCATCTCCTTAACACTAAGTGTATATCTTCACCTTTATAAAGGTTCCATGTCTCAACTGGGCAATGAAATACACATATAAACATATGGGTAGATCGCCCAAGTATGCCAGTGACTTCACTCATTTTTTTGTCTAAGGGAAATGAGATGATGTATCCTAAGGGCTTTTGTAGAACTGTAATTTCAAAAAATAACTTTTAGAAAAAAAAAAAAAAGCACTGCGTGTGCTGTTTTTGATTGGGAATTTAGGCAATTTATCTTTTCTAATCAGAAGAATGTGACTTCTCATTTGTGAACTGTTCACAGTTTCCTGTTAAAAAGCTGAAGCCATCGACTTTTTCTTAACCCAAGTGAGAAACCAACACTACTCACTACTTTCTTAAAATTTTAAATTGAAAGCCAATGCAGACTTTTGCATATGTAAACTAGAGAGTTTTGGCTACAAATTGCTGACAATTGTGGAGCCTTTGTACATAGTTTGGATATATCTCAAATGCAAAGTCACCAATTAACCGATGGATTCATTTATTAATGCACAGATGTATGCTGTTTTGAATACATATGACCTTGAAACTTTATAAAATCAATTTTTATGACTTTTTGCTGTTGAATAGGGATCATGCCCTTTTATAGTTTGCAGCATGCCACAAAGACCACAAATAATGAGGAATAAGAAACCTGCTTTGCTTTGTCAATTACTGTCAGACCACTTTCTGTGTATTTGGATCCTCTGCTATCCTCATATATTATAGGGTTATAGACACTTTGGGATCGAATATTGTCTTTCTAAACTTCCCAGAAAGGTGAAGCTCAAAACTACATCTTAATTGCTATGGCTTGGGTTACTCATTGTTGTGTGCTGACATCATACAGTCCTGACTTGGGTTCCACTTTGGATCTAGAGTTGACTGACATCTTGCCCTCATGTTCTCAGGCGTTCCTTACTTTTTTTCTTCTTTGTATTCTTTCATCAGAGAAATCTCATGTTTTGGTATATTTATTGATGTTACTGTATTTCTTGTATTTCCTGAACAGTCTGAAGATTTGTAAAATGTTACAAACAATTCTTTAAGGATAATAAAATAAATCTAAATACATCCTTGTTGCAGGGTTTAATTTCAAATAACAAGCAAAACCTCCTTACGTTATATTCAGTAAGTAATCATTATTTTTTGCTCATTATATATATCGCAAGGTAAAATTAACCCCACGTATATAATGAACTTGATAACTATTTTTATGTTCCCAGTTTTACTATTGAAGCTGAGAATAGTTTTCTATTGCACGGGATTCATTAATTTCATGGCGATTTTTAAAGTTATATTTTAAATTCTAAGTGGAAAAAAAATGACATAAAGCCCCCATACCTCTTTTCAAGACGCTCTTTGGGCTTTTGATCTAAGACAAAGTGAAAGTGCAAAGGTTCTTCACACTCAGCTCTCCAAATCCCTCACTTAGCCACTGGAACACTACTTAGGTTTAGGCAGGTGGTAGCCAGGGGACTTTAGAATAGTTTTGAAATTATCCTGGATGCCATGGATGCCATGTTAGACCTCCCCAATACCTTGTATGCATCATGTGATCAAACATACTTCTAGGTACATCTACTGGGTGGTGGGCTCTGAAGTTGCTTGGCACACAGTATTACAGACACACTGACTCCACTGGCACTGTGCTGGAACCTTCCATCTGGAGCCCTGCAATTTCCAGGAGGTGGCTGCATTTGTGTCAGGGCCTGGGTACCGAAGGCTACTTGATTCTAAGTCATGGCTGGAAGTATAGCTGCCAAAGCAATGAGAATTCACAAGCTGGTCAAGACACTCTGAAAGAAAAATCGTGTGGGGAAGAATGTTTGAACTGCAAAGAGCTGCAGAAAAAGAGGTTGGGTAGAGACAGGGATATTTTAATGTAGTAAAGTTTAATACTTACTAGTTGGAACAGACAACCAGAGCCCTGCCTCCTCGACTACATATTGGAAATCATGAAAATGGGCCTCAGTGTTGCTTTACCTTGACTCCATAATTATCACCTTTCCTCTGCATCTTTAATAGAGTCCTTTGTCAGGATACACGACAAGATAGCTTACTTTCAGGAGTATGCTGTCACACCAAGGGAAGGGTAGGGGAAACTGCTTTACTGTATACACGAGACTTGGATTTACCTCTCCACCAAAATGAAGATTCTTTCTTCCCTTGATATTTTTATTTTATTGAATTCAGATTCTTAAAGACATCTTTATAGTTTAATGCCAGGAAAGTAGCTAAGAACTCAGTAACAGTTTATAATGCTAAATGTAAGATATGTTGGTAAAATCACATGCCATTAATATAAATTCATTAATATACATTGCATAGAAAATTTCTGGGAGGGGGAAATAACTTTCCTTCCTGAAAAGCTATGTTTAATGATCACATTTTTTTATTACCTGTGATACTTCAAAATATTGCAATGACACATCTCTCTTCTTTGCTAGCTACAACAAATGATGAAGTATCTGCTGACAGAAACTTTCTTAGTTGAAACCTGCCTTTCTTGGTCTTTATAGCTAAGCTGGATGTACTGATAAATAATATTTTATAATTTTGTAGGGATAGCCCAATTTTTTTATGAGTTGGCTCTTTTCCTTCTTTTGTTTAGGTTGGCAGTCGGTTTCATAATTCATATGTTCACTGTTTCTAATCCTTGTAGACCTATTAAAATACTAGAGTAACTACAGACAGGGATTCAAAACAAACCAGATAATTACAGCCCCAGGAGTCCCTAAGCTTGTTATACTTTGATGACTTCATTAAAAAACCTTTCAAAACTGTGGCACTGAGAGGGCAACTGTGCCTACTAGAAAAGGTGAAAGAGCATCTCAGAATACTTTTCATTTTATATTTCCAGGTTTTAGCTTGGAAAAAATATCTCTGTCATATACAAAAAGTGCTTGTTAAAAACTTATACTCAAGTTCATCTCCACTAATTAACACTTTGTATTAGATGCATTTTGAAAATTTAATTTCTTCTTTCTTCCTTTTTTCCCCCCTTGTTTTGGAGGTTATCATGGAACTAGCTCTGTAGACCAAGCTAGCCTCGAACTCAGAGAGATCTGCCTGCTTCTGCCTCCCAAATGCTGGGATTAAAGTTGTGTGCCACCAATGCCCGGCTGAAACCTTAATTTCTAACTTAGGTAACCTCTAAAATAGTCGTATTCATTAAATAGGAAAAAAATCCAATTGTTAATGTGCACTTCTATGATTTTTCTTGTTGCTCATTTTTCCCATTTAGTGTCCATCTCTAATTTTATGTTTTAATTTAATGAATAATTTATTAACTATTTTATTTATTCTTTAAATAATTTAAATACATAATGTATTTTGAACTATTTAATAAATATTATTTATTTGAATAATGACTGTTAAGTTAGACGTCAATGGTGAAACAGATGAAGGTTGTAACTCAAGACTTTCTTTTTACTGGGTAGCACT